TTTTTTTTTTCTGAAAGCTTTAAGAAGGCTGTAATTATTTTGAGTTTTTAATCCAGCTCTTTTCAAACTAAGTCTTTTATTTTCTTCATTGCTCTGTACCTTTCCTCCATGTGAATTTGGGTGTTTGCCAGGCACTGAAGTGGGAAATTCATATTGGTTTTATATACATATCCATTTCCAGAGAATGCAACACAACCTTTGCATCTTCTGTGCCAAGAAAAACAAAGGAATATTTGTACGTCAAAACCTTTATCTTGTGCAAAGGCTCAAAACACCTGAGCATGGCTAAATAAATCACCTAATAAGAAATGGTTGATTAAGACCAAAGCATAATTCCTTTGCAAGTTAGTGCTTTTTCTCCATGGTGAAGCCGAGGAAACAAAAACTTAGACTTACCTTGTGGCTTTTGGGTCCCAAATCACAATGTCAGCATCTGATCCTACAGCTATTCTTCCTTTTCTTGGATAGAGATTAAAGATTTTAGCTGCATTTGTGCTGGTAACTGCTACGAATCGGTTTTCGTCCATTTTACCACTGTGCTGTTAAACAATTCAAAAAAGAAAATGCGTTTGTTCTACTGATCAAATACTAAAAAAATCTCCTATCAGTAAAAGCACAAGATTTGCATCTTTTAAACCAAACAGAACTGCACCTAATTTCTTATATTGAGGAGCTTTACCACATGTGTGGATGCTGATAAGTATTAAGCAATCATAATGACAATGATGGAGATGATGGGTAACATATGGAAGTCTGAAGGTGACTTTTCAAAAACCTATCAGCTTAAAAAACACTCCCACTGATTTTTCCCATCCTTCCAAGAATCACAGAAGATTGCTACAGATGACAGCTAAATGATGGCAATGGTATTTTAAATTTTCATTTAAAGTTTACCACCACCACCACCTACTACATTTATGATCTGGCTTATTTATTGCAGACCTATGATTTATGAGATGATCATGTAGACATTAGATAGAATATTATAGAATTAAAATAAGATAGTTGACAACACTTTTAAGTCAGGTGACAATGCTTTTAGAAAAATGAAAAGTTGACTCAAGAATTTCAATTTTATGCAACTGAAATTTACATGAACCGACAATTGCGGATAGTCTATTGTAAGAGATTTTAATATAGACAGACTTTGGAAGGATGTAGTCCCCCTACATTTTCTTTAAAAAAAGTGTTGAAGGTTTATCCCTATGGACATTTACATGATAAGAGTATCCTTAATGTATATTTAATTATCAAAGGGCCTCTGCCTCAAAAATAACTAAGATTCATGTCCTAAAAGTCATATTTCCATAAGTAAACTTTAATGTTTCAGAAAATTACATGGTTTTCTGTATGTTGTTAAGAAATATTCTTCACTTTAAAGCCATTT